ATATAATATAAATAAAATAATGCCGCTCATATGTGAAATTTAGTTTTAAGACTTTCTTTTAATAACTTCCCCAAATGTTTAAGAAAAGTATGTAAGTATTTATGCCTATATTTATACCTACAAAGAGAAGTAATATACCAAATCTGAGGACCGCAGTAAAACGACTTCCCAAAACTGGTGCCGTGTAACATCACCCGAATACCAAAACTGCAGGGACGACTCAAGAAGCAGCTGAACATCATGATTACAATAAATGTTTTGATGAGCTATGATGATTGAAAAAAATGCTTTCCAAAACTATATAATTTCTGTTGAAAATATATATGTATTAAATAATAATTTTGATAGTTGAATAAGCCGTGTTTGTTTAGCAAGAAAATTCTAATATATCAAACATATGTATCTCGTTCCTATAAACATTTTTTTTTTTTTTTTGTTTTTTTTGTGTTTTTTGTTTGCTGTTCTTTTTAAACCGAAAAATTTCATAAACTGCGAGTAGTCTAGTAAATTTATGAATGATTGCTTAGTCAGTTCAGCTCATTTTATGCTTTGAACAGTTTGACAGCTTCTGCTCTGATAAATAGTCCGGCAGCACTGCTTTCAAAATTTTGCAGTGAGAAAGTCTGGCAGCACTTGCTGCCATTATCAGGCAACTTCGACAGTCTGGCAGCACTAACGATAAAAAGAGTTCATTTTATATTTAACCTATTATTATCCTATTAGAAATTCAAAGTAATATTTTTTCATATCATTCCGTACGCAGTTATCGATAGACCGCTTCTGTCTATCATTTTTGCAACTCTCATCTCTAGCTTTTCGCGATATCAAAGCTGTTAAGGCTCAACAAATTCTTTTCAACCGAACTTCTGACCAAGGAGGTTCACCTGAGATAAAACATTAAAAGCAATAGTACTATCACTCGAATTTAATAAAAATCAAGATGTTTCTGGATGCATTTGGTGCCCCGAAGGATATAACTCCTGAAAATCTGCACGAATATCCATACCATCTGGTAAAATTAGCAATAAGCAAGTAAGCCCTTAATTTTGCAATGTCATGTGCTTTTCAGCATAGCGTCATGCTGCTGACCTCGGCCGACCAGGAGGTCTTTATACCTCCACGCTGGCATGGCACCATCTATAGCACTGAGGAGATCTTAGATGGCTATCGCAAGCGCTTTAAGGTATTTCTGAGCACTATCCAGTGCATCTTCGGACCTATGGCTTTTCTAGCACATTCCATTCTTTTAGCCCGACTGCACGCTGCTGACATTCCATGCCATGGAACCGTATGAGCCGGAGCTCATCTGCTGCGAGCGCTGTGTCGTCGAGATCACGGTGCTGCCGGCTGGGCAGACCCTGTACAGCAGCTCGGACATAGTCGTGTTTCTGGTGAAGATCTATGAGGTGAACACGCTGATCACCAAGGAGCTGGGCACCGAGCTCAACTTCTTCCCCAGCAACCATCACTACCATGTGCGCATCATGAACGAGGGCATCGACATACTCTATGTGGATGACAAGATCTACACGGGCCAGGCGGCCCCCTCCATGAACTATCAGCATCAGTGCATCCAGAATCTGCTGAAGAAGCTGCAGCCATTGGGCGTGAAGAGCCTCTCGGGCAATCCGCTCCCGGAACAGTTAGTCAACTTGTGCCGCAAGGTCGAGTGCGCTGCCAAAAAGTAACAATGCAGTGGAGATTCCATTTGCTTTGGCCCGGGCTGAAGCAACTGACTGAACGAATAGACTTACGTAGTTCTTAAGTGGAAGGTTGCAGCAATATCGCGTATCTACAAGTGATTTAAATTTATAGATTATTCTCCTCAATAAAGAACTCGCAACACAGAATCTAAATAGCATATCATATTTCTTTTCGATAGGCGTGGTTGATGTTTGAGATTTTCTAGTTCTAATTTGAGAAACTTTCTGCGATTTTCATATAAATAATCTTGGATGGAGATGCAATATTTTCAATCAATTTTAAAAACTGAACCAGTCTCCAAATACAAGCAGACCTCAAATATGTTCTATATTTTCTATAGCCAAAAGTACACCCAAATTCTAATGCCCTTGCAGACACTTAGAGCCCTTCTTCAATTTCATTTGAAATTCACATATCATAACTACTCTAAATCAACAAGTCTTGCTTATATTTCTCATTTCTGGAATACTTGTCAAGCATTCATAACATTTCACGCAATTGTCCGAGTTATGCAAAGTGTGTAAGGTTCGGCCCTTTAAAGTTCTGCCCAGATTAGTATTCATAACAAAATGTCATATATATGCATTATATRTAAATATATGTATGTATGTATTTATGTATATATTTTGCTGTGCCATGGCAAATCCCTGGGGCAACCCGCTGCGTGACATCTTTGGTCTCATTTTGTTTTTTGGCTGGCCCAAAAATAATCTTTTGGTCTTTTCAATGCGGCCCTTGGCTATTTTATGGCTTTGCAATCGTTCTGCAACTGTGCCTGGAATATCTAATGGGTGCGTGCAACTAATTGAGTTGCTACTCCTTGCTGTGGCTGCTGCTCTTGCTCCTGGCCAAAGGATTTGCTTTCGCTATTGTGGATTCATGTTTGCATTGCAAAACCAAAGCCTTTTTACATAAATTCATTTTTGGCCAAAATGGCTCAGTCTTTAATGGCATTGAAATAAGCTGGAGAGGGGAAAGAAATAACATATTAAGAGATTCAAAAGTCATTTCGAAATGAATAGAAATAGCTAAGCTAAGAGCCAAGAGTTGGGAATTTAAGCTGGAATAAAAAATAGTTTCTACAGCGCTTTGCAATTACAAAGATATCGAAAGCGAATATCGATGCGATTGAAGTGAAGAGAAAGAGAATGGGAAATTGGAATAGGTGAAAAACAAGTAATAGAAATAAAATGTAAAATCGAATAGAAAGTTAAGCAGCTTGAGCAAACATTGCTGCTTGTAGTAAAATATGAGGACCTCATAAATTGGATCAGATATACTAGAACTAGTTACAGAATTATTGACTTAAGTCAAAATTGAAGACAATATTTAAAATTATTTTTCTTAAAATTGTAATGCACAATCCATAATTTTGTAAGTTAGCATTTCCCAGCACTATGGTAATAATCTGCTCGATATACTATCGATAAAAGCTTCTTGCAAATATATTTCAAAATGCCATTTAGAGTGACCATATTCAAGCGGCATTTCACAATCTTATTAGTTATCGATAACATTTTATTGTAAAGAAATCCAATAAGATTATCCATTCGCTACAACAGTCTCATATTATCAATAAATGCTACTAATATAAATAATGATATAAATCAGTCAGGGAATCGCAACGATATATAGATCAAGCACGAGTGATAACATTTCCGATATTTATATTTCAGCAACTGTTGCAGATATCGATAACATTTCATCTGAAAAATATTTAACAAGATTCGCCATTGGATTCAGACTCTAATTTTTTTATATCAGTTTCGTCTTACCTACTCCAGCACCTTCGCCCGAAGCTCTATTGAGTGTAAACTCTTAGGAATTGGTAAGTGAGAACCTTTAAGCTGCCTTCTGCATCCTTGTACAATAGAGCTGTTCACGCAATACAAGCGCCCGAGTCGGGGCCTGTGTAGCTCATAAATTTGTACAGCACATACTCGTATGACAACTTAAGTGCGGTCAATGTTTGGGGTGCCGGTGCCATTAGGAAAACAATTACAGACCACGGCCACTGACGGCCACAAAAGCAGTGCGTGAATGTTGTTAGCAGGAGGGCGGCTGGGGAGGCGAGGCCAGGTCCGGCCGGAGTCTGTTCACCACGGTGTGCGCTGAGATATGTTTGCGTCGTCCTGGCCGTCGTCCTTTACAGTGCGAAGATAACATTGAGCGCGTTGCCCGGCTCGGGCCATAAATTACGAATATGTCGTCGCTGGTTGCTGCCGCCGTCGTCGTCGCTGACGCTCGGCTGTGTCTATTAGCAGCCTTAGAATGTCCGAGTTTGACAGTGCTTAGGCTTAGTTTTGGGGTTTTGCCACTGAGCCTCTAGCCTCGAGCCTTGGACGTGGCGAACCCGTTTGTTCTTGCCGAAAAGGGGGCAGCTCGTTTATCAAGTGCAGCCAGCCGCGACAGCTGCCCGGACATCTCTTGGTCGTCTCTCCCCCATGCAGGACGCTGCTTAAACGGATTTTAAAGCAATGTTTGAGTTGTGATTGTGGATTAGAATGCTATATCCGGTGACATTCAACAGACAGCAGAGAGCAAGGACATATTAAGTTCTCTGCGTTTCTTTCTTCAAGATGCATGATAAGCGTGCTCTATTTTTTGAGGTTGGCCTGTCTCTAATCCCGTACCATAGAGAGGGAAGGAGTCAATTGAACAGCTGCAAAGGTGAATGAATCCACTGGCTCAACTAGAAACGTGGCCAACAGCTGATGACGATTCAGGTCTGTTAAATCGAGTGAGACTACTTGAACGTTTGGTTAGTCTGCTAAATCGCGGAAATCTTCATCAGTGCTTGGCCTTTTATCAACTCCATTGCAGTTGTAGCTCATGCTGCTCTATAGTTTCAGAATGGAGTAGAGAATCTCTAAAGTTTGTCCTACAGTCAACGAAGGTTAGATAAGAGATTATTTTGAATTCTTATTGAATTCCCGACTCGTGTATTTGGCGACTGTAGAAGATTTTACAAATAAATAAAGTAGAACTTATTCGTCTAATCAATATTAATATTTCCGCATACTTGATTCAGAATTAAATAATATCAAGCCAGCTGCTAATGCCTATTCTCAATGAGTTCTGTGCCTAATGAATGTAACATAAGATTTGTTCGATAATCTTAATGATGGGTTAATATTATAAATATGAACATTACTTTATAAATACATTCTAAATATAAATATTACTTCATGAGGCACTATTTTTCTATTTTTTTAATTTTTTATATATTTTTT